GGAAAGGTGCATAAAATTACTCTATGGCTTGATATTTTGCTTAGGCTAATTAGGCTAGATCTCTCCCTTCCTTCCTCTCTTCCTCTCTTCCTTCCTTCTTTCTTTCTTTTGATAAATGGTCCTTTGTGAGACAAAGAAAAAACAGATAATTTGAAAATAACAAAAACTGAGCTAAAAATGATTACAATAAGTTCATAAGTGAAAAAATGGTTATGATTTAGAATTAACTTCATTTAAAAATATTTCAAACCAGTTTACCATGTTATTCTGCTTTGTTTCTAAAGATGCTTTGAGAATTGAAGAGTGGAACTTTTGTCCATGTCAGTTGACGAGAACTTCCCACAGTTGTTGTGGTTCCAGGTTATGACTAGTTTAAATTGTCGAGAGAGTTCAGGTTTCATAAACACAAAGGCTGAACCACAGTTTGGGTTTCTGATTCTGACTTGGGTCATGGGTGCTGCTGAATGTGATGCTATAAACAGTCCCTGGAGAATGACCAAGATAATTGCCTAAAAATCACGGCTCTTGGGGTGCTAAGAGCTGATAACCAGCTCCAAGCCTCTGAGCCAGTGTACACCACACAGTGCACATAAGCCTCCCTGCCTGACCTGAAGATAGACCCACTATCAAGGAGAAGGTATTGACCTTCCAGGAACACAGACAAAGATACACAAAGAATGACCATACTTTTGCCCCCGCCCCCTAACTTCCCCAACCAACCTGTGAAATTTTAAGGCATCAGATGACTTATTAGAAGCACTTTACAACCAACCTGTGAAATTTTAAGGCATCAGATGACTTATTAGAAGCACTTTACAATTTAGTGAGGTCTTTCCCATAAGTTACATGTAACAACTGGCAGAGACCCCAGAGGCCAACTGTTAGAGTTAAGGCCCTAAGAGGAGGAGCGACTGGTCCAAGGGACTGGTAATCTGGGAATTAGGGGCAGACAGAAGGCCAGTCCCCAGAAGTCTAAACCTGAGTCTAGCAGTTCCTCCCGCACACCTTACTGAAAAGAAGGCAGGCAGCCAAATTACCCAGGCTGATGGCTCCTGGTGGGCTGAGTTCCTTTTGATGCATTCCCATTCTCTAGCTGAGCTGTAAGTCCACACCCAGGTCTGATGGCTGTGCAGGGAGCTGAGCCTCTGTGCCCAGAACCTCGAAGCAGGTGTGTTATGCACAATGAGGCTCAGAGCCTACATAGCCTGGTCACCTGCCAGGCTTACTCAAAACCAAGCTTCCTGCTACTGTTTTCTCCCTTGGTGTTGCTGTTGCGCCAATGCTTAGCAGCCCATTTTATGAGCTTTTCCTCCCTGGGGCCATCAGACACAAGCTGGAATCATTAGGTAAGGAGGACTGGTCAACAGCAGGCGGTGTGACCAGCCCTGCTGTCACACAGGGGCTAGGTCATCGCCAGGGGTCCTGCAGGGATCCCCCAACCTGGCTGTGGCCCCTTCCCATTGCTCAGGAGGTTTGGCTGGGACAGCCAGAGCCCCCAAGAAGCAGAATCAAGGTGTGACAGTCAGGTAAGGAACCCCACAGAATCACACAACCGTGTAAGCAGTGCACTTCAGAAGTCCCTCTGGGAGGTCATTCCAGTGAGGTTGCAGATGTTCAAGTTGATAAAAATCATCACTATTTATTAAGTCCTCACTATGTGCCGGGCACTGCCCTTGGCACTTTCTGTACACTAGCTCATTTAAATCCCACTGAAGATGGGCCTTGCTCTTCTCATTTTACAGGTGAGAAAACGAGGGATCAGAGAGGCTAAGCATCCTGCTTGAGGTTGCACGGTTATAAAGGGTAGGATGGAGTTCACCTCCTGCCCAGGGTTATCTTTTCCTTGGCCCCTACTCTTGTTTCTACATCATGACACTGTTGAGAATTCTTGTCACACATCGGCCTGTCCCCCTGGCCTGTGAGCTCTTCAGGGACAGGGGCTCATCTGCAGGATGCTTCCTGGCCTCCCAGAGCCAAGCGTGGGTGGGCACTTGGGGAGGTCTCAGTACATGTTTACTGACTGAGAGAAAGGCCATCTGACCCCAGCTGGGGGGAATGGCCTGCATAGGTGGACTGGGGTCCAACTGAGGGCACCAATCTCATCACCCTAGAGTCGTGCCTCAAAATGGCCACAAATATCACACCCAGAGGTTCATCTACCTGGACTTGGAGCCCACTCCCCTGCTCAGCTTTCCTCTTTTGTAAACGGCACCCAACAACAGCAGTCAGCAGGGTACGGAGCTGTGGGGTTCACTTTGGGGGCACGTGGGCACCTTCATGAGAGCACTTTTCTTGACACCTCAGAACCAACAGTGAGGATCAGCTGAAAGAACTATTTCAAAGTATTTTAGAAAGAGTGACATGTTGACCTCATTAAGGAGTGATTGGCCTGCTAGAGCAAGCGTTAATTCACTTTTGCCTCTTTCTAAAAATGAACATCACCTTCAAATGTAGAACTTTGGTCACTATTGAGACTCCTCAAAGAGATAAGTCTCTGACTCTGAAAGCAACTTCCTAAATAGAGCAACAAATGTAATTTGTGTTAAAGGTGGCCTCGTAGCAACTAGGCTTCTAGGTGACTTTAGGGAGACCAGCACTCATGTGGATGCTGAAGATTTCAGAGACTCGGGCACTGTCGTCATGGTGTAAGCCCACCTCATCTGGCTTTTGGGGAGGCCTCTGAAGCAGATGAAGCAGTCCCCACATCTTGGGGGACTGTCCATTTCTTTTTTCAGAGAATGTTTCCTGCCTGTGTTTCTTAGAGGCTAGGGGAGTGGGCTGACTGATAGGCCCTCGGGGGGTCTCTCGTGGGGGCCATGTTTCTCCCTGTGATGTTCAATCGTGGTGCTGTCATCCCAGTTGTGTAGTTGGCAAAGGGACACAGCTGGGGATGAGCTGGACTGGCAGCTGCCTGAGTCCTATGGCAAATTCCCAGTGGTACAGCATCTTTTCATGACGGTTCTGTTCCCATGGGAAACAGTCTGGGGAGCTGGGCATTAGATGCCAGGGAGCAGTCCTACCATTCAGGCAGAATTGGCTGACAATGCGGAAGGAGTATGAGCAATCTTTCCTTCTCCAACTCAGAGCTGTCTTCCCACCATTAAGCCCTGGGTGGCACAACCCATCCACACCCCCTCCTACCTTCTGGGTACTTGTAATTTCCGGTGACATCCATGCGAGAGTTGCTGCCCACTGCCTTGGTACTGATATATTTGCCGACGGTGTAAGAGTTTGAGGAATTCTTCTTCAGGCCGCCAGTCCAGGCATCGTAGATCCATGTGATGCGGTCGGCATTAACCTCGGCAAAGATGAAGGGCATGTCGTAGTCCCAGTCCACATTACCCTCTCGGAGAGCGGCGACTGAAGCAGGGCCGCACTGGAACACCCCTGGGGGCCAGGGTGCAGAGGTTGGATATGTGCCAAACCCAGGCCCATCTGCAACAGTACACCCCGTGGCCTGCTCCTCTGGGGGCCACCCATGACCACCCAGCTCCCCTGCCTCTACCCCGCCAAACTCCTTCAGCCCCAACAGTCTGCCCCCTTCTTGGGGCACTCAGCAAGACACTCCGGGGCTACTGTTATCTTCTGCAATAGTGCTCTGGTGAGACTCCACCTCCACAGAAGATGGCCCAATCCTGTATTCTGTGGGTGCATAATTTGTGCTGACCCACTGCTCTCAGTCTGTTTACTAAAGGGGAAAGTCTTGCTGTCTCGTGCTCAGGGCTGCCTCTTTTCTACTCTGCAAATCATTCATCATGGCACATATATGACCCTGAAACAAAAATTCCACAGGACAATTCTTATTCTTAATGTCCAATGCACCCTGATATTTTCTTTTCCTTTCCTTTTCCCCACCCCTTTCCATGATATTCTATTTCATTTCTTAAAATGATGGTCACAACCCATTAACTTGATTTTATAGCTGCTAATGGGTCGCAGTGAAAAGGTTGAATAGTGGCCTAGAAAATATCTGGAAGGTTACCCTCCTCACACCCAAGTTCCCCAAATCTAACGTTCATTGTTTCTGGTAGAGACACTGCAGTTGGGGAAGGGAGTAAGACTTCATTTTCATTGTAAGTCCTTTTAGAATGATTTGAATTTTTTTAAAACCATGTGCCTATATGACCTTTATGATTTTTTTTTAAGTTTGAAAGAAACAACTGAAAATGAGGGTAACGGACAAGAATGCTCTGGAGGTCAGGGGAGGGAAGGGGAAAGGTTCCTGGAGAGCCTGAGACCCAAGCTCTGATGGGAGAGTGGCCAGAGGTGGGAGCACAGGGATGGGGCTGGGCCAGCCTGCGTGAAGGAGAGCTCGGTCTGGCAGGGGACACATGTGAATGTGAGAGAGGTGATGGGGGCCGTGATCACGGAGGTCTGGAGCTGAGCCAGGGAATTTGGGTTAAGTCCCAAGGCAATGGGGAACTGGAGGCTTTCTGTGCTGGGAGGGATGGGCTACCAGAGGTGGTGCAGGAGAATCATGGTTGGCAGGGGACGGCTCCTTTCCCTTGCTGCAGGGCATGTGCCAGGTCCTCTGCAGCAGCCATGTGAGTGCAGGTATGGCAGTCATTTTAATAGCAGCCTGAACCAAGAAAATTAGGAGGGAAATCTACTTTCAAAATATTTTTGTTTTAATCCCTCCTTTCCCTCTGGAGGTAGAGAGGATTTGGGTGACCTTGCTGTGCCGCTGTCCACCACTATAAAGAATCGAGAGGTCATGACTTAGAGCTAAACCCAGAGAAGGAGGCTGTCAGAGGGTTGGTTACCTTGGCTCCTTTCCTGGGGGGTGGCGTCCAGAACCTGCCATCCATTGTATGATGGGCTTAGGTCAGTCCGTGCAAACCAGGCTTCATTCCAGACGTGGAAATTCCTGCAGACAGAACCACAGACTACAGAGTTTGGCCAAGGCCACACAGCAGAGGAGTGGCAAAACACCACATCTCTGATCTGACAGTGCAGCACTTGATACTCATCAAGTGAATTTACTCTGTGCCAGATACTGTGCTAGACCTTGGCAAGCATTGTCGCACTTAAATTCTCACAGCACTGTTAAATGGGTACTATTTTTATGCACATCTCTTAAAAGAGGAAACTGAGGCTCAGAGAAGTTAAGCAGTCAAAGTTTGGACCCAGGTGTGCCTAACTCCAAAGCCTAGGTCCTTGACCACCATGTTCTACTGCCTTTTTGAGGAGCAGAACAGATCTAGGTTAGAGCCAGAATCCAGCAAGCAAACCCACACAGCTTTCTCCTATGCATCCTGTTGGGGGTACACTACTGTATTTCGTGTGGGATGAAAATGAATGGGGCTGCAGCAAGAGTGCCAGGTCTGGCTAAGAGCCACAAAGCCCTTGGGCTGAGGTCCGGATTGAAGAATGACATATACCAGTCTTAAAATGTTCTTCATCAGTGGCAGCCCCTTGTCTCCCAATCTATATGTCTCAGTCATTTGTCCCCTCCCTCAGCAGGTATAACCAGTTAGCCAAAGCTTTATGCAGTCTTGATTCTGCCCTCTACTCTCCCCTTCTCCAATCCCACAGCAGCTACATAAACATTGGCTTGGCAGTTTTGAGTCCAACTTAGAAGAAAATGTAAGTAGGTCTGACATAAATTCAAGTTCTATCCAACTTGAAAAAAAAATTTGTTATACTCATGAGTTGGAGAAGATAGTTTTAAGCAGAGAACCAACTTCTGAATGATAAATGTGACTAGGTAAAAATATTAAACGCGCATATACCAAATAAACAAAGAAACAAACTATAGTTCTGTTTCCAACATGGGAATAAGCTCATAATAGACAGTCCTTTCTGTAGAAAACAATAAACTGGGGGAAAAAATACAAAAGACAGCTGAGAGTAAACAAAGCAGGAGGATTTTGGGAGGGTGCCAAAACTTTTAGGAAGGGGACAGCATGGGGCAAATTGTACTTTGGTGGCCTTGCCCCTAAGGACAGGTTGCAGTTGAGGTAAAGTGCAGGGCAGTAAAAACTCCAACAGACAGCCTCCATCTTTCTGACCTGGGGAGATAAGAAACTGAGGCTGGGTTAACCAGGGTTGCTAGAGAGTGAAGGGCAAGTCTTAGAAAGGAAAGAATCACAAAGGGGGACCCAGATTTGTATATAAACTCTGCCTAAGTTTCCGGGTGACCTCTGAGCTAGGCATATATGAGGCAAACTACAAGTAGTCCAGCTAAAAATTTAAAAAATGAACTGAAACTTGGGCTGCTGCCCACCATATGTGAGATAGAATTTGCAGTTTGAATCTACCTCAGGTAGACTGCTAAGACAAAATGTAGAATCAGGAAGAAGCCAATGTCCAGGATACAATCCAAATTTACTCAACATACAAAGAACCAGAAAAATGTAGCTTGTCCTCAAGGTAAAAGACAATCAACAGGGACTAACCCTTAGATAATCCACGTGTTGGAATTATTGGATAAAGACTTTAAAGCTGTTATGATAACTATTCTCAGTGTAATAAAGGAAAATACGATCATAACAAATGAAAAGAGGGGGCCTCTTAGCAGCAAAATAGAAAATACGAAAAAATGAACCAAATGGAAAATTTTAACTAGGAAAAAGACCAATATCTGAAATTAAATAATTCAATGGATGGCTTACTAGCAGAATAGAGAAAACAGAGGGAAGAGTAAGCAAACTTGAAGATAGATCAGTAGAAATTATCCAATTTGAAGAAGAGAGAAAAAAGGGTTGAAAAAAAATCAATTAAGCAGGGAAAATATATGCAACGTGTATACTAGACAGAGATTTACTATAATAAATATTATAAAGTACTTACAAATCAATAAGACACAAAAGACCCCCTAGAGGGGTGGGATAGGGAGGGTGGGAGGGAGACGCAAGAGGGAGGAGATATGGGGATATATGTACATGTATAGTTGATTCACTTTGTTATAAAGCAGAAACTAAGACACCATTGTAAAGCAGTTATACTCCAATAAAGAGGTTAAAAAAAGACAAAGAAAAGGAAGTCAAACATGTCAATAATCGACAATGAGCAGGCAATTTTCATAAGCAACACAAATGATCACTGAACATATGAAAATAGTTTTAACTTCACCACCATTAAAAGAAAATTAAAATGACAAAGAAATACCATTACCCTTATTAGACTGACAAAGATGAAAGCATAGGATGATACACATTGTGTGATACTCATTATTGTGTGGGAAAACAAGCAGTGTTATACACTGCTGGTGGGAGTTTAAATTGGTATGACATTTGTGAAGGGCAATTTGGCAATGAGTTTGAAATACCTTTAAAAACCTATATACTCACTGAGCCAGTAGTTCCACTTCTAGGAATTTCTCCTGTAAAAACCCTCACATTAGTGCACATAGATGTACATGGAAAGATGTTCACTGAAGCATTGTTTGTAATAGCAAAAATAATAGAGGAAAAATTTATCAATAAGTAATTGATCAGATAAATTGTGGCACAGCCATGCAGGAGAATATCATGCAGTTGTCCAAAAGAATGAGGAAAATTAATCTAGCACTGACATGGAAGATGTCTAACTTATATGACCAAGTAAGAAAAAAAATTACAAAATAGTGTGTATATGTGTATGTATAAGCTTATAAAAATATATTAATATGATGAAACTATTTAGATTTAGAAAATTATACATTAAAAAAAGCAGTGAAAGTTAGTCCCCCATAATTATATTATCTTAGATAACCACAGTTTAAATAATGGTTTGGTGTATATATTGTGCACATGGACAGATTTTGGTGCATATGAACTAAGTTGCACGTTATTTATTTCTGTAATGTTTTCATATTCTATAATGAAAATTACTTATTATTTCTGTAATTCTATATTTACAAAATAAATAGATATTTAAAAATATGTATATTATATAAACACTAATAGCTAATACAGTTGTGTCAACACAGAATATTATTAAGTTTTCTGTCTTATATATTAACTCATTTAATCTTCACAATGCTCATATAAGATAGGAATAATTATTATCTCCTTTTGACAGTTCTAGAAACTGAGGCACAGAGAAGAAGTTAAGTGACTTGTTCAAGGTCTCAAAGTGAGTAAATAGGCAGAGTGGGATTTTAACCCAGGCAGAGGGCTGCAGGGCCCATGCTTTTAACTACTAAACTATACTGTCCCTCTAAATTTTAATTTATTGACAAGAAAGATATTAAAAATTATGAAATAAACTATTTAACTTGGTCCCATTTGGGTAATTAACACTCAATGCACATAAACAGAATGAAATGTCTGGAAGAATCTATCTCAAAATGTTGTTAGTGTTTTTCTTTGGGTAGCTATATTACTATTACTCTCACTAATTTTTTTTTTATTCTTTTATAATCAGGAAAAGATTGTTTTTGTTTTGCATGTTGTAAAATGAAACCTGCAAAGCTTCCTATGGGGACCAGATTGGGAGTTCTACACTATGCAGTTGTCAGAAGGAGTTAGAAGTGCTCCCTAAGTACTGATCAGGTGCACTGTGACCCTGCTACATCCTTCAGAGAACAAGGGGAGAGTTACAAAGTCAGCTCCAAAACAAGACAGAAGGAATAAGGCCATAAGAGGTAAACAAACAGACAATGATAAATAATACCAACCAATGATATGAGTAGGAAGAGCACATACTCTCACTACTGTAAAGAAACACAAGTCAAACTCCCTCTTGCCAGAACACCAGAATCACAACTAGCTGCTGGACAATCATTGACAGGAAGACACTGGAACTCACCAAAAAAGACACCCCATATCCAAAGACAAAGGAGGAGCCACAATGAAATGGTAGGAGGGGCACAATCACAGTAAAATCAAATCCCATAACTGGTGGGTGGGTGACTCACAGACTGGTGAACACTTATACCACAGAGTCCACCCACTGAAGTGAAGGTTCTGAGCCCCACGTCAGGCTTCCCAACCTGGGGGTCCGGCAACGGGAGGAGGAATTCCTAGAGAATCAGACTTTGAAGCCGAGTGGAAACTGATTGCAGGACTTCAACAGGACTGGGGGAAACAGAGACTCCACTCTTGGAGGGCACACACAAAGTAGTGTGCATATCGGGACCCAGGGGAAGGAGCAGTGACCCCGGGGAGACTGAACCAGACCTACCTGCTAGTGTTGGAGGGTCCCCTGCAGAGGCAGGGGGTGGCTCTGTTTCACCATGGGGACAAGGACACTGGCAGCAGAAGTTCTGGGAAGTACTCCTCGGAGTGAGCCCTCTCAGAGTCTGTCATTAGCCTCATCAAAGAGCCCAGGTAGGCTCCAGTGTTGGGTGGCCTCAGGCTAAACAACCAACAGGGAGGGAACCCAGCCCCACCCATCAACAGTCAAGTGGATTAAAGTTTTACTGAGCTCTGCCCATCAGAGCAACGGTCAGCTCTACCCACCACCAGACCTTCCCATCAAGCCTCTTAGATAGCCTCATCCACCAGAGGGCAGACAGCAGAAGCAAGAAGAACCACAGTCCTGCAGCCTGTGGAACAAAAACCACATTCACAGAGAGATAGACAAGATGAAAAAGCAGAGGGCTATATACCAGATGAAGGAACAAGATAAAACCCCAGAAAAACAACTAAAGGAAGTAGAGATAGGCAACCTTCAAGAAAAAGAATTCAGAATAATGATAGTGAGGATGACCCAGGACCTTGGAAAAAGAATGGAAGCAAGCATCGAGAAGATGCAAGAAATGCTTAACAAAGATCTAGAAGAATTAAACAACAATCAAACAGAGAGGAACAATACAATAACTGAAATGAAAACTACACTAGAAGGAATCAATAGCAGAATAACTGAGGCAGAAGAACGGATAGGTGACCTGGAAGACAGAATGGTGGAATTCACTGCTGTGGAACAGACTAAAGAAAAAAG